CACTTTTTCATGGCCTCACTCCACAGAAAATAAACCAATTATACACATACTTCTGAAAAAATAAGCATAATTCTTATGTTTCTAATTTTTTAATTGTGGTAAAATATATATAATATTTGCCATTTTACCCACTTTAAAGTGTACGATTTTGGTAGTACTAGGTACATTCACAATGTTATTCAACTGTCACAACTATCTATTGACAAAAGTTTTTTCATCATCCTCAACAGAAACTCTGTACCCACTGAACACTAATTCCCTTTTCCTCCCTCCTCCAGTCCCTGGTAACCTCTACTTTACTTTCTGTCTCTGTGAGTTTACTCTATTCTAGGTACCTGATGCAAGTGGAATCATAACAATATTTGCATGATTTATATGAATCATATCTGTATATTTAAAACAACCTAAATGTCCAACAGCAATAAGGGAATAGAGATTTTTTTAAAAAGTGATATAGTCATATGTTGGAATACTCTATAGCAATAAAAGATGACTTTACTTGCATTTAAAAATCTCAAAAACACTGCTGACCAAAAAAAATGTTGCAGGGCCAGGTGCAGTGGCTCACACCTGTAATCCCAGCACTTTGGAAGGCTGAGGCATGAGTATCACTTGAGTCCAGAAGTTCAAGACCAGCCTGGACAACATAGTGAGACATTGTCTCTACAAAAGATTTAAAAATTAACCAGGTATGGTGGTGCGCACTTGTAGACCTGTAGTCCCACCTACTCCAGAGGCCGAGGTGGGAGGAGCACTTGGGCCCAGGTGGTGGAGGTTGCAGTGAGCCAAGATCCCACTGCTACACTTCAGCCTGGGCAGCAAGAGTGAGACCCTGTCTCCAAAAAGAAAAAAAGCTGCAGAAGAATAAATAATACCATTGATGTAAATATTAAAGACACACCAAATAATCTATCACAAATCATTTATGGCTGCATTTCAGGACACTTATAAATATACATTCAAAAATATATACTAACTTTGGAAAAGTAATTACCTCTAGGATGGGAAGAAAATGAAATTGAGAAGGGGCATAAAGAGACACCTGAAATGTTTCAGTTCTTTAAAAAGATCAACACCTTAAAGAAAATGTGGCAAAATTCTAACAATTGTCAAATCTTTGGTAGATACATAGATGATGGTGCGTAAGTCTATTTTTCTGTTTGAAATATTTCATAATTTTAAAGAAGTAATGTTTTAGAATGACAGAAAATAAGACAATATGTGTGCTTTGAAAATGGAGATGTGCTAATATAGACTAATTATAGCTTTTATTCTCCTAGCCAACTTAATTGACTACTTTATAAAAATTGTTTAAATTATAAATTAATACACACTAATATAATATTTGAAAATGATAATAAAGCTAATCGATATGAGTGTTACTATGGTACTTGAACCTATGTGAAGGTGCTACTTTTCATATATATTTTTAAAGTAATAACAAAGATTTCTTTTTTTCTTCTCCACTCCCATTGCTTCACTTGACTGTCTTTAAAAAAATAGAACATTGACAGCTGGGCCTAATGGCTCATGCCTGCAATCCCGGCACTTTGGGAGGCTGAGGCAGGTGGATAGCATGAGCCCAGGAGTTTGAGACCAGCCTGGGTAACGTGGTGAAACCCAGTCCCCACCAAAAAAAAAATGAAATAATATAAAATAACCCAGTTTCCACCCAAAGAAAAAAAAAGTGCCTATAGTTCCAGCTACTTGTAGCCCTAGAGGTTGAGGCTGCAGTGAGCTGTGATCATACCACTGCATTCCAGCTGGGGTGACAGAGCAGACCCTTTCTCAAAAAAAAAAATTGTACATTCAACCTAACTCATATCTATAAAGGACATCAGGGCTGACCACTGCCTGCTCTAGCACATTGAAATCTTGATTATCAAATTCATACATCCAAGCGGGGCACAAACTCCCAGCTCAGGTCCAGATCTAGATCTGGCCTTCCTGTTAGGATTCCTACTGAGCTCACTGTAAGACATAAGTTGTAGAAATGATTTTAAATAACCCAAGACTTCTCAGTGTTATTTTAATAACATGGAATAACTATATTAGCACATCTTCCTTTACTTTTTTTTTTTTTGAGACACAGTCTTGTTCTGTCACCCAGGCTGGAGTGCAGTGGAGTGATCACAACTCACTGCAGCCTCAACCTCCCATGCTCAAGTGATCCTTCCACCTCATCCTCCTGAGTAGCTGGGACCACAGGCAGGTGCCACCATGCCTGGCTAATTTTTTTAAAAAGTTTTATAGAGATGGGTGTCCTATACCCAGGCTGGTCTTGAACTCCTGGGTTCAAGTGATTCTCCCGTCTCAGCCTCCCAAAGTGCTGGGATTACAGGTGTGAGCCACCACACCTGACTACATCTCCCTTTTCAAAGCACACAGTGTCTTATCTTCTGTTGTTGGTTAGTTAGGCTAAGTAAATTACAGCCAACTCACTCTGCAAAATATTAGGCTGCTGTTAATGCAAAATATAAAGACTATCACAACATAGAAAAAAAATTCCCAAAACAGTATTAAATAAAAATAACAAAAAAGTATATACGCAAGGATCACAATCGTGTAAAAACATGGGTACATATGGATAAAGACAGGAGGGGAACAGAATTATCAGTTATATTATGGTAGCAGAATTGAGTGAGATTTTTCATCTTTTATTTCTTTAAACGTTGCATTAATAAATTATTTAACCAGTATTTTAAAATACTCTATATATTATAAAAGAATTAACTAAACTATATCCTTTCCATAGCTATAAACCCACAGAAACCTTTTAGTGTATTTTTAAAAATATTTTAGATCTCTCAAGTTTCATTACTTTAAAACCAAACTAGGAATCAATTTCAGTTATCTCTGCTTTGGGATAGGCAAGTCAGGGAAGCTTGCTTTCTGTTTCAACTACTACTCTAGATTGAGGCTGCTATCAAGGCAGAATGGACAAGAATATTTAGACTTAAGCAAGTGACTTCTAGTCTCTAACATCTACTTACTGACAGCACAACCCTGGGAAAGTCACAGAACCTCTCTCATCCTCAGGTTGATCAACCTCTAAGCTTCTGTATTTCTGACATTGTTCAGGGAAGCCAACTGCTTAAAGGTTAATCTCAGATCCTGGACCCATTCCCCATCTCCCTACTTCCTCTATCTGGGGAAAACACTTCTTAGCATTGTACTCCACTTTGCCAGGTGAAACCTTGAAGAGATGATTATATTCCTAAAGATATATAACATTTGTTCCCCCAAAAGAAAACTAATATTCGCAGAACACCTGTGCACCTGACACTGTACCAAGTATTTCATATATGCTATACTGCATACCTTCCTGGGTCCCACTAGACCACAGACGCAATTTCTGGAAGGAGCCAGCGCAATCTGAATTTTAAATAAATTCTCTAAGTGCACACGCAAGTTTGAAAACTAAAGGTGTAGTGACAAATCATTAGAAGGTTGTGGTGTACATTTTTTAAAATGGAATGGAAATTATCAGAATATATTGCAAATAGTGTTAAGTGTTGTTTCTGCAAAAACGGTTGTCAGTTATATATTGTCTAGGTGTGTACTAGGTCATAATATAAAATTTATTTCTTACTGTTGGTCACAGTCAAAAGGTCTGAAAAACACCGCTGAGCATTACAGACTTAGAATAATGCATAATGAGGCAGAATAAAAACAAAAAAGAAAGAGGAGATGGCATAATGTCTGTAATTTAAGCTCCACAAGTATTTAGAGGATTAACAAAATGCAAGACACCCAAACTCTGATCATTCACAGTAATAAGGGGAATTAAGGTATTGGTAATTTGGTCAAAAGGCCACTAATGTTACTTTAGCCAATAACCTTATTCTATCCCCACTTTTTGTTTACCGTAGATAATAACAAGTAAAATGGACAAATTAATCAAACTTCACTAACCCCTATGCCAGTTGGGATGAACGTTAAGAAATGTGTGATATATAGAATGAAGGGAAGCAGTTTCGTTCATTCATAATCAAATTCCAGTCACTGAATAACCAACAGTAACCATTCATTGAAACCTTCTGGCTGGGCGCGGTGGCTCATGCCTGTAATCCCAGCACTTTGGGAGACCGAGGCGGGTGGATCACGAGGTCAACAGATCAAGACCATCCTGGTCAACATGGTGAAACCCCGTCTCTACTAAAAATACAAAAAATTAGCTGGGCATGGTGGCGCGTGCCTGTAATCCCAGCTACTCAAGAGGCTGAGACAGGTGAATTGCCTGAACCCAGGAGGCGGAGGTTGCTGTGAGCCGAGATCGCGCCATTGCACTCCAGCCTGGGTAACAAGAGCGAAACTCCGTCACACACACACACACACACACACACACACAAAACCTTCTGTGGGGTCACTGTTGATCATGGCTAATCAGTCCTGAATACTCCAAATATTTATTACGCCACTCCCCGACCGTTTGTTTAAAACCAAGCCACGGAATTTATGCAAAACTAGGGTAACAACTCTACGTCTAAGTGAACTTAAGACAACCAGATTCCCTAGCAGTGGCAAGATAGCGACACGCCTGCTTTTCTTCACTCCAAGGCGGGAAAAGCGGAGCTCCCGGAGCTGCGATTCTCCCTAGAGTGGGAGCAGCGCGTAGCTCAAGCCAGTGGCCCGCAAGAACCGTGTGGCAGTTGAACAGATGCTCCCCTGGAGACTTGGAGCCCAGAAGGCTTGCCCACAGCGGAAAATAAGAAGCGCGATCCCACCTGCACACATACAAACACATGATCGCACGCACCAAGCCGGGACGGAAGCACAACAGGCGTTTCTGTCGCGTGGGGGAGACGTTGAAGGCGGGGGGCGTGGAGGATCTTAGCAAAACCTTCTCAACCCCTGGCCCACTGACCCTACCCTTCTGCCCCCGCTTTTCCAGAGCGGCTGGAGATCGAGTCTCAGATCTGGAATTCACGCGCGGGAAATGCATAAAAGAGAGTGAAGCCTGCTGCCGACCGGGACAAACGAAAACCCCACAACCTCACCTTAGCGGTACCCGCCGCCGCTGGCTGTCTGGCCCTGAACTAAACGGGCGGGCCTCCGAGACTGCGTAGCCGCCAGAGGGGCGGGTCCGGACCTGCTCGAGCCGGAAAGAACCGGCCTGCTCTGCGAGTAGGTTCCCGCTGAAGTGAAGCTAACCTAGACCGAGGCTTAAATGGGGTCGACCTGGTTAACTAGAAAGGGCCACCAGTGACCCTGACCTGGACGCGCTCGGATTGGTCTATTCTAGGGCCGTCTCAGATGAGACTCTTTTATGATTGGCCAGGAAAGTCAAGCGGGAACCCAGAGGTTGGCGGTTGGGCGGGGGCTGGGGGCGGCAAAACAAAGTTGTTACCCTAGCAACAGATAGACGCCGCATTTTCCACAGTCTATTTTCGGAGCCTATCCACAGACCCGAAAACTGAACAAAGGTGAGGAAACTCGAACTTCAGGAGGGGAACAGACAGGGTCCTCAGATGCCGTGGCTATCAGAAAAACTAGGGAGAACTCTAGATATTTATAACTCTGAGAGATACCCAAAAAGCCACAAGTTGGACAAGGTAGAGAACACCAGTTCTCTAAATCCTGCTATCCTAAACTAGGAGCAGGACGCTGCTTTAACAAAGCTCGCTTTTTCAGGATGTGAGTGAGAGATGGGTGCCAGAAAGCCAAAATGAACATCTGAAGGTTTCCAAATGGTCTTCTCTCAACTCTCACATGCACTTATTGATTCTCCCTTCCCATTAATAGTGACTAATTTGGAAATGTAAACCATATTTTCTTACAGGAGAACCTGGGTGCTCCAAACTGGAGCAGCCACTGACCCCTTCTGTTTTATATGTGCAGGCACGATTTATCCTAGCCTAGCATGCCTTGGTTAGGAAATATTTTATAGGGAATATAACACTTAAGACTGAAAATAAAATGGCCCCAGCACTCAACTATGTGAACAATGTCCTTTGTGCGACAGCTCGAATGCTGTGACCTGAGGGTTCCGGTGTTGCTTGGTTAGATAAGCTCGGGAGTGAGAAGTGGTCAGACCCTCGCTTGGTGGGCCAGAGTGTAGCGTGCAGATACTACTTGTACCTACAAAACCTGCTACTCGCCAAGGGCTGATTGGGAGAGTAAGTATTATATGTTGTTTTACTGTAACTGTCAAAAAGTGAGGAAGTGTGACCAAAAAATTAAATCTGAGTGAAGGGAGAGAACCTAGTTTGATCAGAGAGGAAGGAGTCATTACTCCTTAAGAGCTTCTTGTGATAAAAATTCAGAACAGACTATATTTCCTGAAGAAATGAAAAAAAATCGGACTCAGGGAGAAAATTTCAAAGCACAGAAAGCAAATTTGCCGGGCTGAGCGCAGTGGCTCCCGTCTGTAATCCCAGTGCTTTGGGAGGCCAAGGCAGGCAAATCACTTGAGGTCAGGAGTTCGAGACCAGCCTGGACAACATGGCGAAACCCGGTCTCTACTAAAAATGCAAAAATTAGCTGGCTGTGGTGGTGTATGAGGTGGAGTATGAGACTTGAGGTAGATAAACAAAGAGAAAATATTAAGTGTATTAAGTTTGTCTGAAATGTACTATAGAGCATTGGATAACTCAGGATGGGTTCTATAGAAGCTAAGGATTTGCCTCTCCATATTAAAACTCATTTTTCTGTAATCTCAGCACTTTGAGAGTCCTAAGTGGGTGGATTGCTTGAGCTCAGGAGTTCAAGACCCATATAGGCAACACAATGAAACCCCATCTCTACAAACAATACAAAAATTAGCCAGGTGTAGTGGCACAGCCTATAGACCCAGCTACTTGGAAGAGTGAGGTGGGAAGATCACTTGAGCCAGGGAGGTTGAGGCTGCAAGAGTCGAGATCACACCATTGCACTCCTTTTTTTTTTTTTTTTTTTTTTTGAGACAGGGTGCTAGTGAGACCCTGTCTCAAAAAAAAAAAAAGGGAAAGAAAAAAAAAAACCCTTACTTTTCAAAAAGTATTGGGATGGTACAGACTCCTTATGAATAAATGACTAAAATAGAGGAAATACTAAATCAAAAACAATTTGTTTTGAGACAGTGTCTCGCTCTGTCATTCAGGCTAGAATAGAGTGGGGCGGTCTCAGCTCACTGCAACCTCCGCCTCCTGGGTTCAAGTGATTCTTGTGCCTCAGCCACCCAAGGAGCTGGGATTACAGGCGTGCACCGCTGTGCCCAGACAAATGACACTTTTTGATTTAATAACCAATAATTAATTTAATTTCTTGACTTCTTTGTCTATGAAAGATTCCACGTACTTTCAAAAAGCATCTTCCATTAAATATATTTTAAATTGGAAATGAAAACTGTTAAGCTCTCATAGTTACTTATGAGTTAGTACCTTTGATGGCAGTGAAAGTTAGACACCTGAAAAACAAACTATTCTTGGTATTGTAAAGATACACTCAAAATGAATTATTTTTAATAGATGGGATATCGTCGATAAGTATAGTTATAAAAAAATGCAAAACAGAAAGCAATTATATAATTTAATTCAGACATAGGCAGAGATGATGTCACTTTTGTGTTCTCAGAAGAATTTTAATGGAGGAGTTGCTAAATAAGGTACTTTATAAATAAAGTTGCTTCAATCTAGGAAAGCTGATTGAAAAGACAAAAGGAAAAATAAATAAAAATAAAGTTGCAGAAGAAATGCCAAATTTATAAAGCAGGCCTGGTGGTAATAAAATCTCTGAGTACTTGCTTGTTCATAAAAGATTTTATTTTTCCTTCAATTGTGAAGCTTAGTTTGGCAGAATATGAGATTCTAGGCTGAAAGTTCTGTTCTTTAAGTATATTGAATATTGGCCCCCACTCTCTTCTGGCTTGTAGGGTTTCCACTGAGAGATCTGCTGTAAGTCTAATAGGCTTCCCTTTATGGGTAACCTGGCCTTTCTCTCTGACTGCCCTTAGTATTTTCTCCTTCGTTTCAATCCTGGTGAATCTAACGATTATGCTTTACAAAGCATTTAAGTTTTGCTTTACGAAAACTTCTGAAAGAAGCATTATACATAGAAAGGAACAACCAGTATGAGCCTTTCTAAAAATATACCAAAAAGTAAAGAGCATCAACATAAATAAGAATTTACATCAACGAATGGATAAAATAGCCAGTTAACATCAAATGGCAGTAACCCTAAACTTAAATCGACTAAATCCCCCAATCAAAAGATATAGTCAAAACCTAATGGTATATCCAAAGATACACAAAGACTCAAAACAAAGGGTTGGAGAAAAATTTACCAACTAAATGGAGAGCAAAAATAAATAAATAAACAAAAAGCAGGAGTTGCAATTCTCACATTTGATAAAATAGATTTCAAAGCAACAAAGATACAGCGGTAAAAGGGTCAATGCAACAATAAGAGAGCTTAATACCCAGATACATAAGACCCATAACGAGATTTAGACTCAATGAGACAGAAAATTAATAAGGATATCCAGGACTTCAACTCAGATCCGGAACAAGTAAACTCAATAAATATTTATAGAGTTCTCCATTTTAAATACACAAAATATTGATCAGCCATTATTAATACCCATTTTTAGAATGAGGCAATATTCCTGTTCTCTCTCCCTCTTTTTCTTCCTCTTTCTTCCTCTCCTTCTCTCCTTTTTTTACTTTTCAACATCCTAGTTCCTCACCTCTACTCAATACATTCCTCTGAACACCTGATTCCTTGTGATTCTCCCGTCCCACTGAAACCTTCAATCCATTAAAAAAAAAGAAAGAAATGCCAAATTTATTTAGAGAATAAATAAATTTTCTGTACTTTGAAATCATTATTTTAAAGGCAATATTTTACATAGGGATATGTCTATTTACTTAAACAAGTTCCAAAAAGATTGCTTGGTGATTCTTTTTTTTTTTTTTTTTTTTTTTTTTTGAGATGGTGTTTCTCTTTGTTGCCCAGGCTGGAATGCGATGGTGCAATCTTAGCTAGCTGCAATCTCCACCTCCCAGGTTTAGTCGATTTTCCAGCTTCAGCCTCCCGAGTAGCTGGGATTACAGCCACCACACCTGGCTAATTTTTGTATCTTTTAGTAGAGACAGAGTTTCACCATGTTGGCCAGGCTAGTATTGAACTCCTGACCTCAGGTGATTTGCCTGCCTCGATCTCCCAAAGTGCTGGGATTACAGGTGTGAGCCACCTCGCCCAGCACTGCTTGGTGATTCTTTATCACCCTGATTGTATTTACCATATATATTTGAATTAATAAAATATATTATCTATTTGAATAGTCTGTAATTCGGAGTTTTCACTAATTTAACCTAGACTTTTCCATAATTAACTGAAGTCAAAAGGCCATCTTTACTGATACTGTGGATGGAGGCAAATAAAATAGAAAGCATGTTCCCAGCCTTACTGCCAGTCTGACTTTAACCCAAGGTTACTGATGTTGCTTAAGTGCTGTGGGTCTGGAGCCAACCTGGTTAAACTTTTTCAGTCCCTGACTGGCTCCAGGGTTTTGGTAATGAGCTGGTTCTGGAGTGTCCGTTGCTTTAGCTCATTATGGCTAGTAGATGGTCCAATCATGCCTCTATTTATGAAGACCCCAAGTACTCAAGTTGATGTGGGAAAATCAAAGGCTCTGTCTGGAAAATGTTGCCATTAGCATTGGCCTAGCAAAAGAGAATGAGAGAAAGAAAAACAAAGGGCCTAAAAAAATTGTTTACTAAATAACCAAATCTCAAATAAAAGACAGCAATATATTTTGTTTTTACTGAAACTCTTAGATTTTCCTTAGTTTAAATTTATTCTTGGCCTATTTAAGTGACAATGCCAGATTCAAACATTTTAGGCAGTGTGGCTCCAGAATATTTTTTATTTTTTACTTTTGTTATTTTATTCATTATTTATTTTTGAGACAGGATCTTGCTCTGTCTCCCAGGCTGGAGTGCAGTGGCCTGATCTCAGCTTGATGCAACTTCTGTCTCCTGGACTCAAGCGATTCTCCTGCGTCAGACCCCTGAGTAGTTGGGACCACAGGGGCACACAACCACGCCTGTCTAATTTTTGTATTTTTTGTAGAGTCAGGTTTTTGCCATGTTGCCCAGGCTAATCTCGAACTCCTGACACGTGAGCTCACCTTGGCCTCTCAAAGTGCTGAGATTGCAGGTGTGAGCCACCACACCCAGCCAGAATCTTCTTTTTAAATATCACTACACTGTACTACCCAAGTAGTCCAGGCAAAAGGAAGAATACACTCTAAGGTGCAAAGGCAGGAAATCATAGAGTATGTTTAATAAGCAGTTTAGTTTTTAACAAAATATAAAACACATGCAGGAGAATAATAGGAGAGAAGGGCAGAAAATTACATTGGAACTATACCCTGAAGGACCTTGATTACCAGACTCAGGATGAACTCAAATGTATATCACATCTAGAAATAAAAGATATACCTATAAACTAACACTGCATAGTTCATTGTAGTGAATATAGTTCACTACAAATAGTTCATTTGTAGTTCCTAAAAAGTCCTCCTGTTTTAGTTTTCAAATGTGTATCTGCTTGTGTCAAATTAACTTTAATAAATGTTTTTTAAAAAGTTTAATAAGTTATTCTTCATACGTTAGACTTCTTAAAAAGCTAGTAGAATCTTCATTTCCATTGATTTAGAATGCTTTTTTCTAAAAATTCACAAATTGTTTTTCTCTTTTGATATATTGAACCACTTAATTAGTTATTCACAAAATATTTGTGATTCTTTTGTTTCTCAAAATACAATATGAACAAACTTGTTATGATTTATTTTTATTGTAATGATTTATTAATTTGTGTTTACAGATTATTATTACATTTGATATGGTAAAAAAGTTTTGGCTAAAGTGCTAATTTTATTATTACATTTCTATTTCAATTGAGCTATAGTGCAAATCTATAGCATTTTATTCCAGCATAATTTGGAAGTACAATTGGACTTTAAGAAGTCTAATTCCTAATATGCTTCAGATATATAAATTGTTACTAAGAATTATTGGGAATAATTTAACAAAAACAAATGTACATATTCCAAGGAGGAGCATCCCCTTTGAAGTAGTCACTTTTGGAGGCTAATCTACTTATTCTAATGTTGTTGCTATTGCTAAAATTGCTTTTGAAACTTCTGTTTTAGAATCACCTTGAGGCTTCTAGCACATTTCTTTGAATATCCTCAAAGAAGAAAATCTTCATATTTTGAAAGTAGACATGATATATAAATATATCTAGAAATCACTTGCGACAAATCTGATGTGTAATCAAACCAAATGATACCATAATGATACCTATTTTCTTGGTGATACATATGAAGGCAATTCCAAATGAAAAGAAAAATCCCAAAATATTTTGAGTATTGATAGCATAATTTACATCAGTGTATAACCTTCCAAAATGACTATTTTGAAATATAACATTCATATGAATTTAATCATGCTTCATTCAGTATTCATCAACTGCTGACTATGTGCCAGCTCCGGTTATTAAAGACATTCAATCTACAGATATAGCTTCCCACTGCTCACACTGGCGTACTTCCCACCTAATAAGAACCAGACCAGAGTTTCTTTCCAACTAACTAGTAGGGATTCAGAATTAATCTGTTTTTTCTAAATTCAGTATCCAGTGTACCAAAGGAACCATGACATTTCCTTCATAACCTCCGCTGTGGGTACCTAGGTGACATGAGAAAGCCACCGACACAGTGTCTGGTTTCTCTTTTCCAGCTGGAACTTTGAGCTCTGTGCTATTCTGAACCTTCATCTCTAGCAGTCAACTTGCCCATCATACTCAAGAACTGTACCCCACCTTCTATAGGCCAGTGTCATTCTTCACCCTAAATAGGTCTCCCTGTAACCATGACTTCAACCTTTCTGCTCTGAAACACTGCTCAGGTCCAGGAACTCCTGCTGCCATGTCTCTTCCAAGCAAATAAGACCACATTAATTGTAGTTCTGCCTATCACCTCAGACACAATATTTGGGACTTCAGAATACCTTCTTATGGGTTAGTTTTGCTGGTCCCAGTTTATTCTTCTTTCATTAGTCCACCATTGAGCTTTCACATGCCTACCGATACTATGCATCAGATAATGATATTTTTATAAAGCGTTTCATATTTTAGTAAACTCACCTGCATTGCATAATTTGATCATCATGACAATTTTATAAAGTATGTAATACTGGTATAATAAACAATTTCTGCTATATTTGTTTTTTAAATGTCTCATTTGTACCTTCTCAACTCAAAATACCAATTATGTTATTGCATCAGATACCTGGATGCATTTTTTCCTTTCATTGTCAAAGATTGAAATGTTACAATAAATTTTGCTTTTAACATTAGGTAAATATTGAATGAACACATAATCAACTAGGAATTTAAAAATATAAACAGGAGCCTCTTTGTTAAATTTGTGTCAATTATTCATCTCCATAGCAGACTATCAGACCACACTGTGAGAGAAGATTGTTTTATCTTTTATTTCACTTTTCCAATTTAATGACTTTCCAATGTAATGAGTTTTATCATTACATTATTCCACATCATTATTAGACATGATAGTCATACCCAGCAAAATGAAACTTTTAAAGAAGTAATAGTAGTCAGCATATGTTGAGTGCTTATTTTGTGCCAGGCACTGTTCCAAGCCCTTTTACATGTATTAACCTACTTAATACTTGTAACAACCCTAAAAGATATACACTACTATTATTCCATTTTATAGTTAAAGAAAATTAGATAATGGGAGTTTAAATAATGTACTCAATGTCATAGTGCTAAGAAAGTAAATGATGGATACAAATTCAAGCAGTGTGACTCCAGAACCCCTACTTCTTAACCACTATGATATATCGCCTCTATGCTTCAGGTATGGGACAATTAAATATTTGTTTCATGTCTTTGGTAGATATTAGGATCACTTTCCAATGTAATGAGTTTTATCATTAATTTATTCCACATCATTATTAGATATGATAGTCATACCCAGCAAAATGAAACTTTTAAGGAACTAATAATAGCATATGTTGAGTGTCTTTGGTAGATACTAGGATCAGTTTTCTATTTTTTTAAAAAAGTCAAAATAATGGCAAAACATAATTTTAAAAACAGAAGATTTGTAAAACACTATCTGCATGCAGATTGATTTTGGCACGTGGCTGTACCAGCACACATCTGAGAATCCTTTTGTATTACTGTTCTAGGCACAATGTAAAAATTTTAGGGATCATTTAATGAAAGTACTAAAGAAATGTTTCCCATGGGTTAGTTTTATGACAATGTTTTCAAAATGTCAGCAGAAGTGTAAAAAAAAAGATTCCTATATTTATGCCCAAATCACTAACGATAGGCCTAATTCTACAGTCTTTGTTAGGGTTATTTGTTAATGTTTGACACCTCTAACATTTTTAAAGATCCTGAACTTCCTACTCCAAATATAACAGCAGAGATTATTAAAATGACTGCTGTCTGGATGGTAGGATTATAGGTATTATACTTTTCTTATTTCTACGTTTAATGTACTATTTCCTAAAAAAGCCCACAATAGACATATACATATATATATATGTATATGTATTACTGTAATAATCAGAAAAGCAATTTTTCATTGAAAGTCAATGAACCCATTGGAGCTCTCAAATGGCAATATAATGCTAGGTATCATCAAGGGTTAATTAAGAATTGAAATAAAGCAGAAGGTACAGGCCTGCCTGAGGCAAAAAAAAAGAGTGAAATGAGTACAGATCATCGGGGCATATTTCTCAAACAACATATTTTCAGTTCACTTAGTGGGATACACAGCCTAAACAGCAAACATGTGACAGATAAAAAGACTAAAAAATATGTTCCCAAATGATGACACATAATGTATATGACATTGACATATGCTTGTTCTAGAGGTAGGACTTAAGAATCTGCATTTTAAACCAACTCCCCCAAATTATTCTTAAGCACATTAAAACCCAAGAACCACTATAGTTGGTGCTCAATAAATGTTTGTTAGCTTGAGTATGACATTTTAGTAAAGCAGGCTAAATGTTTGCATTTACTTGCTGCTCCAGATCTGTGTTAGCAAAATACATATATTTGAAGGAGTTTAAAAGGATTTCCAAGGAAGTATAAGAACCAATGGAGTGACCCAGGGAAAGAAGGGAGGTATGACAATAAGACATCCTCATGTCTTAAATGAAACAGAAAAGTAAAATACCTCTTTCAGATTATCTTTTTTTCCTCAGATAATGGAATCTGAAAATATGGAGGCAGAAAATCTGGAATCTCAAAGTATGGACATTGAGACTGTTTCTTCAGTAACAGCTCTACAAGCCCTCACCAAGCTACTTAATCCTGAAGAAGAGGATGTTTATGACTATGGACAGGTGGTCATATACTTAAGTTGAATAAGTTGCGTTCAAGGGAAGTTGTGGAACCATATTCGAACAACCTGTTCCCACCTAGCTGTGGGAGCAGAGCTGTGTCATTTGATATATGCACGGGAAGCTACAAGGCTGATTATGCATGACAATGTAACCTCTAGTACATTTCTAGCAAACATAATTATATTTTTCTAAACCACCTGAACGCTGAATAGGAAAATAGTTCTGTAACTATGGTAGCAATAGCCACATTTCAAAATGTTGTCATTTATATTTATGGCCAAAGAATGCCTGACAGCCATTGCAGGGTGGTAGCTAGGATTCTTTAAGCCCAGACAGTATTTCTATAAAACAAATATATTCAGTTATGCAGTATTAGTTGGACCCCCAAGTACCAGTCCCTTGATTTTTAAATTTGTCTACACATTAATGCAGAACAGAAAGTTTTTGAGCCAAATAATAGGACAAACTAGTTTCAGCCTACAAAAATTGGCTTCCCAGTAATGCACAGATAAAGCTGTGGAGTCTAATTAGTTGAGTAGCATTTGGGGTCAGGATAGGTAATGCCAGTAAGGCTTGCAGTGGCAAGATGGGCTTCATTTTGCATAGAAGAGTTCCTTGAACTGAACTTTGGCCACTCCAAGTTTACTGCCAGTATTCCCAGAAAAATTAAAACACTTTTATATAACTCCCTGCTCTTCATTCTATTTCTTTTATTTATTTATTTATTTAGACAGAGTCTTGCTCTGTTTCCCAGGCTGGAGTACAGTGGCACAATCTTGGCTCTCTGTAACCTCTGCCTCCCAGGTTCAAGCAATTCTCCTGCCTCAGCCTCCCAAATAGCTGTGACTACAGGGGATTGCCACCAGGCCCAGCTAATTTTTGTATTTTTAGTAGAGACAGAGTTTCCACTGTGTTAGCCAGGATGGTCTCGATCTCCTGACCTCATGATCCACCCCCTTCAGCCTCACAAAGTGCTGGGATTACAGGTGTGAGCCACCACACCCAGCCCATTCTCCTATTCCTTAAATATCAGTGAGCCTTGGCTATCAGACTGCCTATGATAGGGCAAACAAAATTTGGGGTACAAATCCCATATTATAACAGAATATGTCAATTTGCATAAAATTATTTTAATGAAGTGTTTTTCCATATGACCAATTTACCATGAATAAATCATCTTTCACGAATGTATGTACCAATTTACTCCTCCCAAAATTTATTTTTGCCACAATGTAGAGAAAAAAGCATGCTATGAATAGGCAGCAAATTCAGTGGCTCAGATTGACACTGAACTGAGCTACCACCATAAGGAAGAGCTTAGGTAGAATAGGGCATAATTAAATAAGACATGAAATGGAAATAAAATTTGTAGAACTGAGTCAGCTTGGAGCTAGGATCAGGAACCAGGAAGTTTTAGTCAGGGAAAAGTCTTAGTAGAGGCCAAAGAAACGTCAGGACGTTAATGACAGTAGTAGCTATACACAACAAATAGGACGCAGGAGAAAATGTTAGGAACGATGTATCAGTGAAGTTGAAAAAGCAAGCTCATTTTTGCTACCTTAGTTGAAGTAGCAGAATAATAATTTTCTGGAGCCTACATGCTGGGAAAGGTAGGGTTATGTCACATAGAAAAAGCATATCAAGTATTTGAGAAACAGTGATCTTGAATATAGCGAAGTGGAATTTGTAACTGGGACAGATTCAAATATAAGGATTTACCCTGGTTACAGAGCCTATTCCCTTTAGTGTTTATGGCTGAAGGTGTTTATTTGCATCTAGAGGTGTTTCTAGGAGGAAAGATGAATGCTTATGAGAATAGAGAGACTAACATAATACTGAATTGTACAATTTATAAAGGAAAATTGCTATACTAATGTATGATTCTGTACATCTGGATTATAAGCAATTTTGAGATAATTGGTCATTCAGACACCACAGTACAGATATCATTAGAGAACGTAGAATTACAGTTTCAGAACAGTGGGAGAATAATTAATTTTCTAATGAACTATTAAATTTTCCAGGAGAGAAACTGCTTTTCATTTTTTAACATATATTAATCTTGGGAACTGTGGGATGATTACAAGAGTGATGTGTTTTTGAAAATATGCTCTCTGAAAACAGCAAGAGAACAGTTGCATACACATTTCTTCATTTACACTATCCCTTTTCCATGTGACTTGTTAAGAATATGGGAGACTGGGAAGAGAGTGTGTCTATCATTTTTCAAACTCATGAGGGGATATTAAGGCTTGTGTGAAATAAGGTTCACTGCTCTTCATAGACATTATAACGAGGATGTTCTGTCTTACATATTACAAAGTGGCATGAATTGCAATGATAAATTGCTCAGATAATTGGCTGTAGATTCATGGTAAAGGCTCAAATGATGTTCTAATAGAAAACAATTGCCAGATGGTTTTTAATGTTTTTGTGAGCACATTCCCTCTTTTCACTTGAAAAATCTTTTTAATCGTTTATTTTCATTAAATTAATAAATTGAAACTCCCATGAGTTCTGATCCAATCACTGTCCATGGAGAGGATACCAATTTTTTTCATGAATATCCAGGGTTTTAACTCTCACTGCTTTTAATTTTCTGTGGAAGGCAGCACTCAGGCAAACAAGAGGCCCTCATGTTCTGAGAAATGCTTTACTCTGATTGACTATTAGTGTTCCGGTGATTAATAATTTAGGAAAAGTACTACACATTTATATTATATTAGTGAATAAAAAGAGGAAAATGTCCCAAATATTATCTTAGGATTTTCACATAAAAATGCCTATAACGCCTTAAGCACAGACATAGCAATTTTGAAACACCTTTTGGAAACAAATACTATTTTACACATTGCTGAGATATTATAGATTAATTTCTGATTTAAAACTGTTGGAACAGTTTCACATAATAAAGACCCACGTGAGCTGTTCCATCAGGTTTCAAGGACAGACACTACTCTCCTTGCCCAAACAAGACATTCTAACTTTTGTGCATGTCTAAAATCTTAGAAGATGAGGACAGGAGCCTGAGCGGAGGGAGATAGAGGTGCTGGTCTGACAGTATGCAAGGAGGTTTTTTTGACTGCCAGCAGTGGAGTGAGTTGGAGCCGCAGGGTCTGACGTCAGCAAAAACAATTAGTAAGAAATTGGGATTTTCTTTTTTTTTCTTTTTTTGAGACGGAGTTTCGCTCCTGTGACCCAGGCTGGAGTGCAATGGCACAATCTCGGCTCACAGCAACCTCCGCCTCCTGGGTTCAGGCAATTCTCCTGCCTCAGGCTCCGGAGCAGCTGGGATTACAGGCACACGCCACCATGCCCAGCTAATTTTTTGTATTTTTAGTAGAGACGGGGTCTCACCATGTTGACCAAGATGATCTCGATCTCTTGACCTCATGATCCACCCACCTCGGCCTCCCAAAGTGCTGGGACCACAGGCTTGAGCCACCGTGCCCGGCCGAAATTGGGATTTTCTTAAAATATTAAAGAATCCCTGAGATGGGCCAATGAGGTTGGTGTCACGATACTGATAGTGTAATATGTGTTATACTTAGTTGAAAAAATGAAGATTGTTCTTTTACTGGTGAGTCAGGAGAAGTCCTCTAAGGATGTGCATGCTTGTGCAGAAGATGGCAAAATAAACTTGTACTTGTATGAAGGCTGAGGTACATCAGCATATATTTGACACTATTAATTTGTGGCTGCTGTTTAAATTCACTAGTTCAGTGTCATGAGGCTGTGGGACAGGAAAGTGTTTCATACCTATAGTGGAAAATAGTAAAAGCAGTTATCGGAGCTTTTGAATGGTTAATCTGAAGTCTAAATACTTAGCTTCTGTTTACTGTTAGTTTTTATTTCTATAAAACTTTCACATACTTCTGTCCTCCATCTGACTACAACCAGACACTGCTAAACCCCGAAAGTGTCAATGCCTTTATACTAATACTTTGTTCTAACTTTCATAGAGATGAATGTGGCTCATTCCTCTATCCCCAGGGATGCATGATTCACTGAGCTGGAACTAGGGGTTTAGCCTGACCAAAGATCAATTCTGACCTAGAGTCTATTAAACCAAACACTTTTTTGAAAGAACAAGGAAAGCATATTCAAAATAGTACTTGGCATCTGTCCCTCTGTTGTATAATAATAATGGGTAATTAAACTGGAAAGCTCCATGAGTTTTTTGTTGGAAATCCTATCAAATTTAAAGTATCACTAGTCATATAGATTATACAAGTAGTAATTACAGAATATTGGACTTTTTCTCCTCCTTCAGACAAGTGGTTTATCTACTATTGGAGCCATGGGTCCTGGAAATATTGGACCACCCCAAATAGAAGAGCTCAAAGGTAAGTTATTTAACAAAGCAGTATAGATCAATATAATCTTTTATAGATTATAGAAGATTTTTATAGATTATAGATTGTAGAAGAATTATAGGGAGAGTAATACATACTAACACTAGTATTTGTTAAGATGAACTAACAATGTATTGTATACTTGAAAATTGCTAAGATAGTAGATTTTAAGGATTCTCATCCTTAAAAATAAGTATGTGAGAGAATCCATATGTTAATTGCTTGAGTTAGTCATCCACTGTGTATATGTATTTCAGAACATCATGTGGTATATAATAAATATATATAATTTTTATTTGTCCATTCAAAATGGAGAAATGAATCAATAATTTTTAAAAATAAAAAGATAAACTGAAATAATCATGGAAATGATGAATAGCCATTTACATATAAAGATGCTGTTTTTACTCTACTACTGAAGATAGTTTTTCTAACAATGGAAAGATATTTACCTTGAATTATCCACATTCCTTGCATATTTTATGAGATAGAAAACCAAGAAAGTCACGTGTGGTTAGATCATTTTTTATTTTTAGGGACTATTTACCAAGATGCTTAGCTTCTTTACCTTCTACCTTCCTGTATTCTAGCAATTTCATGGAATTCATTCATTGATAATTTAATAAATATTTAGCCTATTATGCATCGGGCAGTATGACCATCTCTGAGACTACAACACAGATCAAAACAGAAAAAGTCCCTGTTCTAATTGAGCTAATAGACTTTTGGAGAAGACAATAAAACAAATAACTACACAATTTTATCTTACATTGAGATGCTTATACATTAATGTCTTTGGGTTTACTTATTTAAAAAAACAGGTCCAATAAATGAGGCAAAATAATATTTTTTACATTTCCCTAGCATTTTGATCTGTACATTTTTACAGAGTTGAACATTTTACAAATCTTTAAAAATATAAAAGGCTCTAATTCTGTTGGTCATGATCACCATTAACCAGAGAATAGACAGGGAGAGGAAGTGAATTTCGTTAATCAATTTAGTTAATTGCAAAAGGTTTTATCTGTACAAATGTTGAAAATAATGACTAAAATGAGGTCTGAGGATGGTTTTAAAATTTCAGTTATTATTGCTACAGATACTCAAGAGGCTATTTGCCTTACTCAAGAGATATTCATTCCATGGCAGACTAGTTCACATTTGATGACTTTTGTGCTGCCTGTATTTCTGATAATGTAGGTCTAATAATCTTTAAATTCTGAAGGCAATTATTCATATGTAAAATGTTATATGTAAATCTGTAGTTAGGCTTTACAAAGCCCATGCTAGATAGAAGCTGATAATTTCAAAAGAATTGTTAGAATTGAAAATCTGACAATTGAGTACATTTCTGGGAATGCTTAAAATGACTAAAAGCAATGTTCTGCAACTAATGCAAGTCTCCATTGGATAGTACAATAGTTAGAACAAATGTAAGGTGGGTTTTTGCATGCCTACTGGGGCCTATCCACTTTTAAACATTTGAAGATGATATGCAGAAACCCAACCTCATGCTCAGCTTTGCATGAAGGACAAGTGGCAAAGATTTTCCTTAAAGCTTGTGTCTACATGAGGAAAACACTGGAGTAAAAAAATGATCACTGTATTCACTGCTTTCAGTTTCTTTAATTGATATTATGATTTTGAGAACTATGTCATGCTTGCATGGAAAAGATATCAAAGGGTTTTTATATAGTAAAAGCAATGCAAGACATTTTTCTCCAAATCAGATTGATTTTAGTTGTGATTTTCTTCTTTTATATAAAAATAGTTTTAAATATAATCTATTTATGTTTCTGGAAAAATGTATAATATTTCTTTGCATATGTGTATGGAAAGAGAGAGAGAGAGACTGGAATGATACACAACAGAATACTAACATTGATTATCTCCAGGCAGTTGGATTATAGATTATTTTCATATTTTTGTTTATGTGGTTTTAGCAACATTTTCTACAGTTGTTATTACAGGTCTACAATGTATTGGTTCTATATTGATAGAGAAACATTTAGTCAGTAGTTACTAATTTAGCTTGTTTTGACCAAAAAACAAGCTAGTGATTGCAAATAATGTTTTACTTCAATGATCCCAAACTGAGTGTGAAGAACAGGAGCAATTTAGAGAAGGAAAAAAGCACGAGCTTCAGCTTTATCTTGCCTTTCTTCACAGTCATCCCTGAAACCAGTGAGAAAAATAATGAGGACATCTGGAATTCAGAAGAGATTCCAGAAGGAGCAGAGCATGATGATATGTGGGATGCTAGAGAAATCCCAGAGTAAGTCAAATGAAGCCAGGAATGTCTTTAGAAGTTTAAGTTAGCTGTGTCATCTGATAGCACTCTATTTTTGACAAGATTCATAAAGTAACATACCACATAAAAGATAAAACTACAGTGACACGCAGAAGCCATGTGTAATTGATATTTTTTCCTTCTAGAGCAGAAACAAATAATAAAGCATAACACCTTCCTTTCAGTTACTATCTAGCAAAAAATGAAAAATATAGTTTTTCCATTATAAATTTATATTTAATGTCAGTTTGTTGTATAGTGTGGAACTAACTGCAAGAAAACCAGCCCATTAAATCGCAAGGATTCATACAAACTAAATTACAATGCCATGTTTATTTGTCAAGGACTTGCTTGTAATTACTCGATGTTCTACAATTTTGGTAAAAGGATATGTTCTCCCTCCAATTGTCAATTATTACCCAGACTTATTTACTAGATATTCTAAGATTATACTTAGTATTCAGTATATTTTGCAAGCAGGGTTCAAGACTTGCTTTGTAGCCTTTTCAATACAATAAAATTATAGATATGAAATTTAGAATTATTATAAAAAGCCTTTTATTCTAATTTAAAAAGCATTCATACTTTTAAGAACCTTAAAGTATATTTATATACATAGATGAAATTATGGGTCAAATAGACTAAGCTTTACATATATGTATTTTGAAATAAAATTCTGATTGACTATTTAGAATAGCAGGAAAACGAAAGCCAACATTTACTAAATTATGATGTACTGTATAAATTCTTAAAGACTTCTGTGGCAAGTGATATGACAACTTTTCTCATTCTGAATACAGAACTATCCAGTATTTTTTTTTTTCTGAGATAGAGTCTTGCTCTGTCACCTAGGCTGGAGTGCAGTGGCACAATCTTGGCTCACTGCAACCTGAGCCCCTCCTGGGTTCAAGCAATTCTCCTACCTCAGCCTCCCATATAGCTGGGACTGCAGGCACGTGCCACCATGCCCAGCTAGTTTTTGTATTTTTAGTAGAGACAGGGTTTCACCATGTTGACCAGGCTGGTCTCGAATTCCTGACCTCAGGCAATCCACCTGCCTCAGCCTCCCAAAGTGCTAGGATTACAGGCATGAGCCACTGTGCCTGGCCAAAATTGTCCAGTATTAAACAGCAACAACAACAACAACAAACTCCATGCTTCCATCTTCTACTTAAGTTCGGAAAATAGAAGCAGTGGGAGACTGCAGGTAATTAACTACAAAGAAGTATCCAGCTTTCAAATAAACAACGTCAAAACCGTAAACATCATAAAAGATCAAAGGAGATTTTAAAACATTTCTTAGAGAATGAAGAGAGTAAATTTGAGGTTGTGTTTATATAGTGCCCACATATCCATAAGAAAAGTAAGAAGTCCCTCATTTGTCATATTGTCTAATGAATGTCAAATATCTATATGCAGCAAGCTTTAAATTTGAGTAAATTTTCCCTTTTCATCCTGATGTTTGATGTTTGGTAGATAGGACATCCATGAAAGCAGTAAATGAATAATAACTGCAGTTATTATGAGGGAAATTGCTTTATAAGATTTTTTAAAATCTTTATTTTCTATCTTATGAAGAGACATTTCAAAATTTCTCAATAGATAAAGAGGAAAATGGGTAAAGAATATGAACAGGCAGTTCAAAAAATAAGAATCACAAGTGACCAAATGAAAAAAATGACAAGGGCCTGAGCTAAGACACTGGCCTTGGGGAGAAGCATAAGGGTCTGTATTTGAGTGAAAAGTTGGCATTTGGTTAGATAAAATGGATGAGAGGAGAGCATCAAAGATGATGCTGAAGTTACTAGTTTGGGTGACTGAGTAAATGATAATGCCATTAACTTTGATAGGAATTATAGGTGCAGTGAGTTTGTTTTTGTTTTCGTTTTTTCTTCTAAGACAGAGTCTTGCTCTGTTGCCCTGGCTGGAGTGCAGTGGTGTGATCTCGACTCACTGCAACCTCCACCTCCTGGGTTCAAGCGATTCTCCAGCCTCAGCCTCGAAAGTAGCTGAGACTACAGGTGTGTGCCACCATGACTGGCTAATATTTTTTTGTAGAAATGGGCCAGGCTGGTGCTAAACTCCTGGCCTCAAGCAATCCACCTGCCTCACCCTCCCAAAGTGCTGGGATTACAGGTTTGAGCCACAACACCCAGCCAAGTTTGGTTTTCTTTCTTTCTGTCCCACCACCAATCACTCACTACAGCCTCAACCTCCTGGGCTCAAGCAATTCTCCCACCTCACTCTCCCAAGTAGCTGGGACTAGAGGTGCGCACTTCATTTTTGTGAAGACTCTGCCTAACTATGTTGTCCACACTGGTCTCAAACTCCTGGATTCAAGCAATCCTCATGCCTCAGCCTCCCAAAGCACTGGGATTACAGTTGAGAGCCACTATGACTAGCTGGTTTTTGATATGTACACTTTGAGTTGCCTTTGGGACATCCAGACAAACCTATGTAGTAGGCAGTTGGAAAATTATATCAGGAGCTCAGGATAAGAATAGGAGCTTGAGAAAATCCATTTGGGAGTAGTGAACATATAAATCAATCCCTTCTGTTTGTTTTAACTTGGCTTCAGCTTTGTAAATACTTGGTAGATGTTATAGCCTATTAAGAGAAAAGTACCCCATAGCAAATAGCTGCTTATTGTTAGCCCTGTTCTAACTCAGAGGAATTCTTTTTTTTTATTGTTGGACATTCCTATTGGCAAATGGCCAGAAGTTCAATCTAGTCCTTTAGTCTTACTATCCAGAGATTTACTGTTTCTTCATTAAGGTAGCATTAAGCAAAAAAAAAAAAAAAAAAAAAAAAGTAAATGTTTGTTTCATGCTATCTGAAGAGATGGGGTACATTGTGGTGGATGCTTCTATAAACCATTCTATTCCTGGAGGCCCAAATTTGGGGAAAAGGAGCAATTTGTGAATTGTCATGTTGGGATGAAACATCAGGAAAATCTTTCATTAAACTCAGAATTCTGTAAGACTAGATTCTAAGCACTATAGTGTAGCTGTGCTGACTATATTGCCAGTGTTTCTATTGTAGAATTTTAGACATAGAGATCATTTATTTCAAACTCACACCTCCCCCCATAAATCATATAAATGTAGAAGCTGACCCCATGAGTTTGTAACTTGACCAAGGCCCACAGTTAATGACAGAAACAGTACTAAACCTGAATTTTCTCCTCTACTCTGTGGTTTAAACTTAGCAGAGGAAGGTTTCTATCAATCCCTAGGTTATGGACTCAGTGTTTTACTGAGCCATTGTTTTTCAGGAACTTTTTTCTTCCAGTTTTAATCTTATTAGAATCTTATTAGAAGTTTCCTCAATCTATTTTATTTGTATAGCTCTAAAACAGTTAAGGCGTTATTTTAGAAAATAATAAAAATTCTGCTTTTTAGTGTTTATTTTTAACCACATTTCTAGACTTATTTTCCTTTATGTTCTATTATATGCCTGAAGACCTGCAAGCACTTTATTTATGTAGTCCTTTTACTTTTTCTAATAGCATGTCCTCATAAATTTCTAGTTCTCTGTTCTGTGACAGGAAATTGCTCTTTCATTTGAGTCCCTATTATCATTGATTTTTTTCAGGTATGAGATTGTATTCAGACAGCAGGTGGGAACTGAGGATGTATTTTTAGGGTTGTCAAAGAAAGACTCCTCAACAGGTTGTTGCACTGAACTAGTGGTAAGCCTCTCCTCCCCTTCTTCATTTCCTATATGACCGTTGTAGCTAAATTGACTGACTATTGTATACATAATACTGTAGGCAAGGTTGTAAACGCTTTAAAAATTGCGGTTGCTATGTTTCGGGTACTAGGGGAATAATGGACTAGAGTTTCAAATTGTTAACTTGTATAAAATAAGCTAAGCTTACATGTTTGGATATGATTTACAAATAAACATAATAGAATCATATGACACAATACACAATTTCTATTTTTAATCCAATTAAAACTTCCCAACTGGATTGGACTGGATTTTCTTACATCCTAGTTCTGTCCCATGCATGCCATCTGATTGGTTATTAACTTCTGATGAATTGACAGACAATTGAAATGAAATGTCTCCTTCCCTGCATCTGTCTTATCTCTTATTTCTGTATTTCTTATAATGACTCAGTTTACAATGTGGGACTTAGAAAGGGACTTTCTTAACTTTGGGATCTGACTTCTGATTAAAAACAATAAGAAAGACATCTAAAATGTTACTTTGCTTTCTTATCTGAATGAAGCTACAGAATGTTGGAGAACATCTTTTACCAGGTCACTGTTTCTAGATAACAGTTGTAGCAATACCAACAATTTCACTGATAACAACTTACTTTTGCTTATTTCATCCTCATAATGATCTTGTTGAAAAATCTGGGCCTAACCCAGAGTGTGGAATTTGACTCATTTTAGCAACATTTAACAAGTAATTCTTGTGTTAAAAATTTATTTTTTGAGATCAGGGACCTGTTTCTATTTTTTCCCCTCCTTTCTTACAATACATTATAGAATACTGTGGTGCCCATGGGAGATGTGTAATATTTTTTCCTTAAGCAAATGGAATTTCTCTTTTGCATGAACTTCAGGTTTTCTCTTATTAGCAAAATCTAAGACATTCAATTGAATCAAGTAACATAATGGGAATAGTGACTTTAAGTACCTCAGGAGATTTTTCAAACTCTAATAAGTTAAGGTTTCAAGTAATCTTGAAGTAATTAGCTCCCAGGGTTTTACCAGTAATATTCAAATTCCTCTCTCTTAAATTACTGAAAAATTGTGTTTTTGATGTGTAATGTTGGGGACTGCTCTAAGTTCTGGACGAATTCTAGGCCCTAAATAAACAAAACTGTTGCAAGTCTTACCACTTCTCTCATGCAAAACTTGCCACTAGTTTTAGTAATAAAGATATCCTGAATGAACAATCTCAGAAACTAAATCATACCTTATAATAGGAATATATGGTTTATCTAAAACTCAGTAAGTATACACAGAAGGCTTACTATTTCTCTCAAATGAATTTATAATCAACTGGGGAGACAAAACTAACATAAATGAACTAATATTAAGAATACAATAATTACATTTATGCTTATAATTGACTTATAATTATATTAATACTTATAATTGTGTAAACAATTATAAGTCTACCAGAAGTTCAGAAGGTTGGGATGAGTCATGGACACCACTGAAAAACAGCAGCAAATAACACATTTGTTGATGCTATGGCACTTTGTCACGTGTATACTGTTCCTTTTGTCTTTCCTTTATTTCTCTTTGTTTCTTCATTTATTAATTATTTAAATACTTAGTGAATGTTACTACATAGCAGGGGCTGTCCTAAGTACTAGAAATGCAAAAATAAATAATAAACTGTCAATTGTCCTCAAGGAATTTATAGTAAAGGAGATTGACACCTAATAAATCATTGCAGTTCGGTATGGTAAGTACATATTTAGAGGCATATAGAATAGAATAGAATTATGGTTACCAGAGACTGGGAAGGGTAGTGGGCATGAGGGGGGGAATGGGGATGGTTAATGGGCACATAAATATAGTTAGACACAATAAATAAGATCTAGTATTTGATAGCACGACAGAATGATAACAATCAGCAATAATTTGTTGTACATTTTAGAATAACTGACAGAGTACAATTGTAATGTTCATAACACAAAGAAATGATGAATGATTGAAGTTATAGAAATCAACACCATTTACCCTGATGTAATTATTATACACTATATGCCTGTATCAAAATATCTCATGCACCCCATAAATATATATGCCCACCATATACCCATAAAATTAAAGATAGAATAATAAAGGCATATATCAGGTACATAGTGAAATAAAGCAGGAAGGGATCAACTTTAAGTGGATAATATTTCTACAGTGGACAACATTCTAAGAAGGGCATTCCAAGCAGAGGTAAGAGCACATGGAAAAGTATCCAGGCATGAAATAGCATGGCATATTTGAGTAAGCAGTGAATATAACAAGAATAAAGAGTAAGTGTGGGTAATAATGGACTGGTAAGCTGACACTCAAAAAAGATAAAAGCTTGTAGCTTTTATCTGTAGCTTGAATGTTATCCTGTAGGCATACTAATGATGACATTCACTATCATTGCTTACTCCACTGACAAGACCCAAAGTAACTAGATTGCTGAACCTATCTCAAGTATTTCTTGCTCAAATTTATATGCTTATCATTCTTGTTAATAATATTGTGTTTCCTTGAATATAAGACATCATAAAATTGTAAATGTGTCATTTATTGAATGATAATGTTTCAGAAGAAAATAGGTATAATACCATATTATACCACCATTGATTATGCAGAGCATCTCAATATCAGAAACGTTAAATGTGAAGAAAATTGTACCTGAGAATTGCCTAAATATTTTATTTGGGTCCTATAACTGGTCTATATGTAACAATCCAGTCCAAAGACTTTAAGAAGAAAACCCTTACTTAAACAGAGGAAGGCAATAGAAGTACAACCTGTTTATACACAAGAAGTAAGATTTGAGGTTTAAAAATTCACAAGGACCATCATTTCCTTTACCCTTCCCAGACTCCAAATAAGAAAGCAAAATTTATTAATCCTAAATAAAAGCAACGATCCTAAACAAAATACTGAATTAGGAATGTCTTCAGCAAACCCTTCAAACCTCAAATCCAAAGAGCCTCATTATCCAAATTCTGCCCTATTGCTATCCTCTGGTATTGCTTTATTCCTGAGTTTGTAGCCACCAAGTTTCCCTTTCCTTAATCTATACTTATGTATTTAAGAGCTAGAGCTAGCCAGTCATTTATAGGTTTATTTTGTTTCTAGCTGTCAAGCTTTTTTTTTTTCAAATAAATTCTATAAGTAAGCCCACTGTATTAAACATATAAAAAAGTACCACCGCCTTATTTAAAAAGGTACTATCACACATGAGGCAGCTCTTATAAGAATGGCTGAGGCTCCTTGGAACACAGTTTGAAAGATGCTGATCTAATTTATCATCTTTATATTACAGTTGATAAACTAAAGTTGGGTTTGCAAGGTTTCAAATACTCAAATGCATTAATGGAAGAATAATCAGAGATCTAGAGGGCTGCTTTTTCCTAGGTGACATATATACTTTTCTTTAAACCCCATGAATGGAAGTCCCCTAGCTTGTTTTATTTTGTTTTGTTTTTCTTTCATCCTCTATATTCTCCATTCCTCTCCCCAAAGCTCTCACTGTAATGTGTGTGATATTAGGTTGGTGCAAAAGTAATTGCAGTTTTGCCATTACTACTGGTTATTGCCAGACTTACTGAGGTACTAGACCCTTGGGTACTAGTTGAGGAGTATGGAAAAAGGAACTATAGGTATCAAAACTAAGTAGGAAAATAGCCTAATTCTCTGTAAGATTATTTGTGGCAGGAAATGGGATGTGTGCATTGGAAAAATAGGTCAGCAGCTTCTCATTTTCACCCTTGGTGCAAAAATCCAAAAATGAATGGGGCTAGGGTTATTGGTATTCTGCCAAATTACCCATTGTTTATTCTGAGAGGGGAAAGGCAGCTTGCAGATAGCTTGATGCTCTTTGACCTAGAATGAATACATAATATTTTGATGTTTTACTTTGATGGATCTATACTGATAAGAGGACATTCTGATGTGACCCAAGAAACAAGCCACTAAGCCTATTTTTTTCCCCTAACATCACCTCCTCCCTAGGATATGAGCCTTCCCCCATCTTTAAATCTCACTGAGAATGAGATGAGAGTCAGGGACGGGATAGAAGTCAGTCACCATCTGGCAGGCTGACACAACCAGAAGTCACGTGTTTATCAAACATATTTATCTCAGAAAGTGCTATCAACAATTTTGAGCAAACTGTTTGCTCATTCTCTAAGAATTCACTTGCTTCCTGAATGGTCTGCTCTTTAAATCCTGATTTGTTTCTTAAGGTTAAAACAGTTCTATTTGTTTACTTTTTTTTTTTTTTTTTTTTTTTTTAGACAGGCTGGAGTGCAGTGGCATAATCTCAGCTCACTGCTGAGCCACGATGCCTGGCCTATATTTGTTGACTTTTAATGAAAATATGGATTTAGCTGCTTGATAATGAAATTAGCTGGGCATGTTGGTGCATGCCTGTAATTCCAGCTACCACCCTGCCCAGCTAATTTTGTATTTTTAGTAGAGACGGGGTTTCACCATGTTGGCCAGGCTGCCCTGGAACTCCTGACCTCAGGTGATCTGCCTGCCTCGGCCTCCCAAAGTGCTGGGATTAACAGGTGTGAGCCACCACGCCTTGCCCATATTTGTTTACTTTTAATGAAAACACGGATTTGGCTACTTGATAATAAAATAGAACTTGTTTTCCATGCCATTCCATTCTAGAGGATGGACCTAGTTTTTTGGTTTTTTCTTTTTGGTAGGTTTCTTGATTATGTTAACCTTGTTTGATTAGTTGTATGCCAGACCATGTGGCAGAGGGAAGGACATTTGAGCTGTAATATGATTCCATATTATTAGTTCCAGGCAGCACAGTAAATCTTCAATTAAATTTCTAATAGTTGTCTCAGTAGTATATTCATAATACATACATTTATACTTAATGTCATAACACTCCTTCATAATGATGGTGGTTGTGGAACATGGTAACAAATACCTCCTTAAAAGCTAATCTATGCCAGGTGCAGTGCCTCATGCCTGTAAT